TAAAGGGCTGCAAAGTACATTCCTCTGACCAGTGAACTCCCTTAGTGCCTTTAGGATGTGGTTTGATTCATAAATATTTGATTGGCACACACTTTGCTCAGGAACATTTCCATTTGTGCGGTGAGCAGTGCCAGTAATCCTGCTCCCCGCACAGCCTCTTGTGTGCTTGGGGAGGCAAGGGGGTGTGGGTCACGGAGGAGGCTGCAGATCTGGGATGCTCGTGAACTTGTTCTTCTCCAGTCACCGTTCAGGTATTCAACCCATTGAGGAATAAATCATGTCCCCTTTTGCCCGAGAAGAAAGTGCAGCAGGAAGAACAGAATGGAGCACGGAGCCCCTCCTTGCTCTGCCCGCCACAGCTTGCTCTCTCTGCCAGAGAAGTTAGACAGGGCAGGGCTTGCTGGGCCTGGGCACATTTTTCCTACATTTCAGGCCTTGAGAGCGCCAAACCTAGACGGTCCTGGCGATACCGAGATAAAGAGTAAGACTAAATCCCGTGAGCAAGGCTAACATTCATTTAACTTAACAGCCTACAGAGATCAGATGGTTACAGGAAGAAAGTCAAGTAAGCCTAGGAGTGATGACGAATAACATTTTTGGAGCCCCTACTATGTGCTATACCACTCTTAAGGTTCCTCCTTTCCTAGGACATGGGAACTGTTTTTAAGATGAAGAAACAGAGGCCTGTGGGGAAGTAACTTCCCCAGGGGGACAAGGAGCTAGTGAACAGGGAGCTGCACCTACACCCCTCTGATCCACGTGACAGGCTGTGTGAATCTAGTATGGTTTGTTTTTCTTTTTTTTTTTTTTAAAGATTTATTTACTTATTTTAGAAAGAGATCGAGAGAGAGAGAGAGAGAGAGCACGAGCAGGAGGTTGCAGAGGGAGAGGGAGAGAGAATCTCAAGCAGACTCCATGCTGAGCACGGAGCCTGACACGGGGCTCGATCTCATGACCCTGTGATCACAACCTGAGCCAAAACCAAGAGTCGGATGCTTAACTGACTGAGCCACCCAGGCGCCCCTCCACTATGTTTATTTAATCAGTTCATGGGGTAAGACCACCATCATGGTATTGATGTCAGGGGCCGTAGTGGTATATGGAAAGAGCCTTAGTATTGGAAGAAGAAGCTATGGACCTCTTTTAAACTTTCCCACTTATTAACCAGCCACAGGCCCGGTTAGCTCAGTGTCTGTAGAGTGATGATAATTCATAACCTTGTGAGATTATGGTTAAGTGGAAATGAAAGAATCTAACACAATGCCTGGCATATATCAGGTGCTCAATAAATTTACTGAATTTATTGTTGAATTTGAATTTATCTGCCATGAATACAATTCATTCACTCATCAAATTCACATTTATTGGGCATTATGCCAAGTGCCAGTCAATGTACTAGACACAGAATTGCATTGTTGAACTATAAGAAACAAAGTCCCCAACCTCAGGGAGCCTAGTGTGTGTGTGGGGAAACCGTTAAATACTCACACAATAAGTGTAATTATAACTACCAGGAGATATGCATGGTACAAGAGGCACTCCTCAAATACTCCGTGTCTGAAATGAAACTGGTCATCTTTCCCTGTGCCTGTTCCTCTTCCAGGATTCTCCCTCTCAAGGTGATGCCGCCATCTACCCATGTCCCACAGGAAAGCCATAGGAGTCACCATGAATCTTCTTGCACCTTAACACCCATTGCCTTGTCTCAAGGTCTGCAGCTCTTACTCTGGTGTTGCCTGGCTTTCCTAGAATGGCGTTGTAACAGATGGTCACAGCCTGTATGGACGGTTGCCTACAGCCGTGGTTTGAGGAGTTAGGCGGACATTTTACTCAGGCCTACATTACAGTGGCCTGCGCACAAGCATCTGTCGTAGGTTTATACCACTCCAAGAAAGGCCTTGTGTTAGGTACATGGAAACTTACTCTCCTGGAAGTAGGAAGATGATAAGTTTTGAAAACATCCCAGTTTTGCCCAGGGCAGATCCGCTGGTTGCCGACAAAGAGAAGCTGTGAAAAGAGTTATTTTTTTTGCCTTGTAGAGCTGGAAGGCATGCAGTTCTATCTGGTATGTAGATTCATTTCAATATTTGATTGGGTTTTAGAAATATTCTTCCTCACGGAAGTCTTAAGGGTATGGCTCTGTACCTGTGACCACAATCTCTAGTCATGCTCAAACTAATGATCTAGGAATAGAAACCATCCCCTCGCCAGACGGTACTAATTGGTAAGCCAGGGTCATCTACTGTCTCCGACCCTGCCCTGTCCAGATTGATTCTGATGCAGAATGACCCTTGAAATGAAGACGGTGTGTGGCAGTACCGCCACTGGGCAGTAGAGGGCGACAGAACCACATTCAGTGGGTACAGCCATGCCTGGGAGTCCTCTTGCCTGCACGATCTTTTAAGACTTTTCAGACACACAGGGCCGTGTTATTATTCCCATTCCCCAGATGGGGAAGCTGAGTCTCAATACTATTCCCAAGATTAGACAGCTGGGAACACTGGAGACATCTACATTTTTAGACAGGAGGGGTGATTGGAAGGGTCCTTGGGCTGGGGGACTTGACATTTATTTTGCAGAGCATTTTATGCAAAATGGGGAGAATGGTCATTGTTCAGTGCTGTCCCAGTCAGAAAGTGATGTGCAGGAATATGAGCTCAAGCTTTCTGACTCCAAATCTAGGGCCCCTTGAGTCTGCAGAGAGTATGTGAATTATCCCGTTCTCCTGGCTTTCACAAGTAGAGAGATGGATTTCTGCTCACTCACCCCCACTTACTCTGATTTCTGTCCTCCTTGGCCCATGTTCCTAGTTCTAGAGTAAATAAATAGGCCAACACAACTCTGAATGTTGCCAAAGAGGCCCTGAATCAAAATGTGAATCCAGACCCTTGACCTTCCTGGGAGACAATATTATAGAAAAAATGAAGGGAAGGTCCTCAAATATTATACTGTATTTCCACATGCTGGATTGAATATATCGAAGCCTTGATTATGTGATGGGGGACAACAACAGCAGTATTGTACTGAGCTGTTACCCTGAGCCAGGCACTGTGCTCGATCATGTCATTTAATCCTCCCAAGAAACCAGTGATGCAAGTAGTATTATTCTTATTTTACAAGTGAGAAAAGTCAGGCCAGAAAGATTACATAATTAGCCCAAGGTCACTTGGCAAACAGTCGATCCAGCATTACTTGGATGTAGACCTCCTCACACCTACTCTTACAGCTTTCTGGTGCTGCATTCCAGGGGTTCCTGACGGCTTTGGTGGCCAAATTCACAGCACTTTCAGAAGTTGTCCCAATGTTACATACCCAGAATGCAATTGATAGTGTTAATGATGGGATGACAACAATGAAATCACATGCCATTTGCACAGAAATTCCAGTACTTGGAAGTCCTAATTGTAGTGTCTTGTTTTCCCAGAATTCAAGATTTCCCAGAAAAGCCAGCCTAACCCTGAGGAACACAGCATAATGGTTGTCTTTCCCCTGAGAGTCTGAGCACCAGAGAGCATTCCCATTGGTTCAGAAGATGGGTAAGACTTAGGAGAAACATTTAAAATCCCAGAGGAATTAAAACTTCTTTCCCTTGTGTTGTATGGGGCAGATCACGCAAATTGTACAGCTTGCCTCACATAATGGACTACAATCTAAGTCCATTTGTTTGCAGTAAATGTTACTTATATACATATATATGTTTAATGTACTAAATAGAGTCCTTTTTGCCTCACTCCGGTACCTAGTTTCCATCAAATATAAGGCATTTGCTAGGCCCATTTGAAGACAAGCCATCAAAACAAACCCCCCCAAAAATCTGACCCTGCAACTGCAAGTCCCAACATCAGCCTTCCTGCTCTTTATCTCAAGGGTCTGCCTGGTGAGTGGGAAGGAAGAGACAATGCCTCTGGTCCATAAATGGCGGCTTCCGACCCCACGACCTTTGCATTTAAAAGTAGAGTGAGCACCACTGAGGTGGTCATTTGTGCTTACAGCCTGCAATTTGGTGCATATTACATGAATAATTAAGACTATTTGGTATATCACATCAAGGTCAGTATTTTGCATTCATTTTCAAGCCTGTTCTGTAGACCCTTACTTGCTACCTCTACACTTTTCTTCTCTTGATTCACAGTGTGCTTTACCCATCAGATCACTGACCCTCTAAGCAGGAACTTAGTTCCAACTTTTGGCTCAGGGAATCCTTGATAACATCACAGTAGGACCCAGACACCTAATATCAAACAGACACACCACCGTGAAAAGTACTAAAGCAGAAGGAAGAGATTTTTATTCTTAGATAGTCACGACGATTCTTTTCTCTAAAGTCATACGTCCATTTATCAACGCCCTCTGAGAGCTAAGCTGGCAGGAAAGCCCGGAAGAGATAGTCAGCATTTGGCTCCCACTGCTCTCGCTCTCCAGTTTCTGTAAGATCTGGAGAATGACTTTACCCCTTCCCGGTTACCACAACCACATCTGCATGATACGCAGAGCAAAAGCTGCATAATTTACGATGTGTAAGACTATGATTATGAGCTAGGATTTCGCAAATCAAGCCCGGTGGGAACATACGCTGGAGCGTCCATGACCATGAAACTGAGCCCAGGTCTTTGTGTAGGGTTGACTGCCCCCCTGCCTCACGTGGATCCTCCTGTCAGAGAGCAGGCAGGGCCCTCACCAGCCTTGGGGGCCAGGCCCTTCTTCATTAGTTAAAGAAACCCACAACAGCTGAACACTGGCAGCTGTATCTGATCTCAAAGCAGTTATGTTAGGTCAACAGATAGTCCTTTTACAATCTTGCTATAGGACCCCTTTAGGTAGGCTGTAGCTCTCACAGTGTGTTATTTCCCACACCTAGACCTGTACACGTTTATGTTACCCTGCCGCTGAGCGTGTCGGGAAGAGAAAGGGTAGCCCTAGGCAGATAGCTTCCCTGCTCGCCTCCTTGACTAAGGAAGACACCAGGAAGGCAGGGGGCTGTAAGAGAGATGGGTGCTTACTGTGCTGGTCGCTCCTGTCTCTTGTCCCGTCCACTGTGCCATCTGGAAGGATCCTCAGGAAGTGGCCCCCATTGCTACAGTAGAGGAGTTTGGGCTTCTTGTAATTCCCCGGAGGCAGATTAAACTTCTCCATCAGGGCGGTGAAGGTTGTGATTTCCCCTTCAGCCATGGCTCAGCAGCTGCTGGTTACGGCGCTTTCAAGGCTGTAAGAAATTAGACAACCCTGTAGAATGTCCCACCGGCAAAGGTGCTGCGTCCCCTTTCAAGAAGGGGAGGAGAGCCTCAGGGCACGGGGCTCCTGGTGGGTTAGTAACCACAGACTGCCCAGGTGATGGCCACAGGAAACGGGCCTGTGCGGTGGGCAGTGGTTAAGGAATAAAGGTCTCTGGCCCGGGAGGGATTTTCAGGACATTTCTTACTTCCCAATTGGACACAGCTTTGGACCAGGCTGTGCATTTTTTAGAACTTCAAATTTAATCACTTGGCCAAGGGGAAAAAAAATAATGTTTTGGTCCCTCCTTCTGATCCACACACATCCTCAAATTAAACACTGGAGTTGCACTAAAATAACACCTGGGCCCTGGCTGAAACCCACAAAAGCCGAGAGGCCGGCACTGAGGTTTTTCTCTCCATCCTCCCACTGTTTTGGCTGGGGACTGCCGGCCCCGCGGATAGCCTGACTGTTGGGGACCCATAGGAAAAGGGATGGAGGCCTTGCAGACCGCCCACAGTAGGGACTGCCAAGGGTTCATGCGTCAAGGGTTTGCTGGCAGGAACAGCAGTGGAGCGGGGAACAAGCACATGGCACGTGTTCCGGAGGGTTCTATAGGGCAGACGCTGTACCAAAGGAACCTGGATGAGACAGATCATGATGAAGGGTCTGCCAGTTATCCTTCCCCAGCTTTCCGTACGTCCTCATATCACACAGAGAAGGTGGGTCTGTCCCTTGTACAAAGGCCGTCTTCTTCCTCATTATTTTCTAACGAGACATATTTATTCTGACACAGCAGCTGCCATATTACATGGTATAATCCTCCAATAGTGTAGACACCCACCCTATAGAGATTTATATCATCATGTACAAATGCATCAGTGACACAAAGCTAATTTTTAAAAAGCAAAAGTAATAAACATTAGAATTTTAAAACATCTCCTTGCCCCACCACTTAGGAGAACAATGCGCTGGTGACAACAGGGATACGCAGGGAAGAGGCAAAGAAGAGCCAGAAAACTATGTGGGAGCTTCCTTACAAAAGTGATCAGGTGCTGGCTGTGCACAGTGATCATCAGTAATATCAATTATATTATTATCAAATATAGCAATATAATATCAATTATAATAATAATGATCATCATCATTCACACGTTCTGGGGTACAAGTTAGCTCATGTGACCTTCTTTATTACTCTTTGAGACAGACACTCATATGATCCCCATTTTTTCTAAAATGACACCGAAGCTTACAGATGTTCGATGGCCTGTCCAAGGTCAACAGCTTCTAGGTGGTGGTGCCGAGCCTCAAAAGGAGTGTGTTGAAACAAAGCGGTCACTTGGCCTTAACACCATGAAAAGGTAAAGGGACTTCACTGATACTGTATCATTGCCGAAAGTGGGATTTTTACCTCTTGTCTGGCACAGACATCTGCCCCCATGAGCTTGTTATTCATTAAGTTATTCATTTGTGACCCAGATGTTGGCTTTCACCAACTTTTATCCCCATGTCAACCTTGAAGCGAGACTCCAGGCATGTCCTCATTCCCCAAGAGACCCCACAGCGCCAGGCTCTAAGGAGCACTGTGTGCTTCACGGAAGGTCTGCTAGCCTCCTGCATGCCCTGCATTAACCATCCATCCATCCATCCATCCATCCATCCATCCATCCATCCATCTCCAGGGTGGCCTCATAGAGCTGCTCACATGGAAAGCAATTCCATCGTAAATCAAAACAATTTGAGTAATTTTCCTGGAATTAGGGTTCATGCTGGAAGCCTCTCTTTGTTTCTTTTGCTCCAGGTATTTTAATGTCTGTGGTTCATGTCTTCCAATCCGCAGTCACACGGGCCAGTCACAGTCCCCGGTTTCAGCTATGCTTTGCAGTCCCTCCAGCGAACCCCAAAGAGCATTTTGGATATGCTACATAAACTATATTTAAAGTCAAGCCATCCCAAACATCCCCTTCACATATGGTGAAACTCTATCCAGCTTTTTTTCAGATAATGTAGTAACAGATAAAAAATGTTATTTATATCCGCAGACTTCACCTTGTGGAGCACATTGCATTTCTTTCCCAAATCCACACTCTCCCTTCCAAACCCTTCTTGTTCATCCACAAGCCTCTACGTCTGTGGGCCCACCTTTTCCTTTCACGGTCTCTCTTTCTGTCTTTCTGCTCAGCCCTTTTTCACCCAACCTCTCAATCTCTCTCTCATTCCATTTCCTCCCTCCATTTGCTTCTGGATCTCCTTCTGATATAAAGCAGTTTAGCTCTTCCAAACTTGGGCATCTTCACCTATCACCTCTCCATTAACATGCAACAGTGATCAGATCCCTGTGCCTTAAAGTACAGTCAAGAGATAATAAATATTTTTTGGTTTTTTTCCCCCAAGGACTTGCTAAGTTGTATACTTCATTTGGTACAGGAGACGATAATTATATACTGGTGGTTGCCATTTAACTGTACAAATAGCCATTTGTATTGCCAGTCTTTGGTGGACAGGATTTTGTTTGTCATTGTCCCCGGGTTTCCTCAAGTGGAGGTCCCTGTGTGCCCCTGACTGTGTGGGCATCAAGGATGGCTTCCCTTCTAGATCTAGCACCAGCGGGGAGTCTCCGTTGAGTCGTTTTCTAAGTGCTGGGTATGAATTTGGCTCTATTCATTTGCATTCTTGCTTCTATCCTCTTGGTACGAAGGGGACCAGATAGACCAGAAGGCTCCTGAGGTTGGAGGCTCCAGGTCTGGCCAAGGATTGTCCTAATGCTCACATTCTTATGTGTGTCTAAGCCTGACAGCCTGGGCTTCATCACTGTGGAGATCTTGGCCAGAGGCCAGCAGGTCCTCAGGTGTCCCTCTCTTCCCGACCACAGTGCACCCCACAGTTATAAAGCCACGACTGTGCTCTCTGTCTGCTCCCCACAGTAAGAGGGACAGTAATGGGGGGTGGCTGTACTGACTTCAGATCGCTCTCACCGCCCTGCAGTTCACATCCATAGCTGGAAACCTGAGGAGAACATGTCGACTCCTGAAAATCAGCCTTGAGTCAACATGAAGCTGATAGACTGTGGCAGTGGGATTTATGAATCAGCTGAAACATACAAAAAATGAAATCCCTTTTTGTTGCTGAAGGAAACCCCAGAGGCACAAAAAGCCCTTATTCTTTGGGGGCTCTATTTACAATTTACCTATATTTTAAGCAGTAGTTAGTCCTAAGTTCCTTGCCTACTCAGGATTCGTTAAAGGAGAGGAGTAAAGAAGTCTATGACATGATAAAACCATTAAGCCCAGCCTTCATGGGCCCTTGGGGATTTTCACAAATTGTTCTAATAAATGAATCCATTAACTACATGAAATCAGGCATTAAGTATAATGGAAATTTATAAGTTCTGTTGCCTTTTCTCTTACTGGCCTCTTCTTCCTGTAGTCTCCCCACACCCTCACACTCACCCAGAAGCATCCTCTCTCCCTCCCTCCACCTTCCACTGTGGCCGGGCTAGGTCATTCTCTCCCTTCAAAAATTCATCTCAGATATGTCCTCCTCCAGAAGGTCGATGTGGACACATCCCCCAGCCATAACCCCCTCCTCTCCCTCCACACCACACACACCAGTTTAGATTTTAGTTGATTCCCCATATGCCCCTCTAGTAGCACATTTACCCTACGGAAGCCCTGGCTATATGATTGCCATGTATGTCTCCCACTGAAAGCATCCAGTGGTTTCCCACTGCTTGGGGGAAAGACTAAGGCCTTATCCCTGTTGTCTCATAATGTATATGAGTGTCGAGTCACTATGTTGTACACCTAAAACTAATATACTATTGTATGTCAACTACACTTCAATTACAAAACATAATTACAAGTTCCCTTTTGCTTTTTTAAAAAAGTTCTAAGGCCTTAAGGGCTCGGAGGACCAGCTTTGGCTTATCCCCTGCCTCATCACCCACCATGCTCTTTCCCCACACTGGCCTTCCATTTCCCTGAAACCCCTGTGCCCCTGTTCACCCTGGGATCTTGGCCCACACAGTCCCCTCTCTCTAGAGCACAATTCCTCTCTTTCCTTCCACCCCACTCGCCTGCGTGAACGCCTACGTTTTGTTCAAGTCCTAGTTCAATTGCCAATTCCTCAAGGAAGTCTTTGCTGACTTTCTTTAACTGGGTCAGGTTCCTCTCGTTCTTGTAGAACCATCTAACATTTCCTCGGAGCTCTTACTTCGTTTTTTAATTACACATTCATTCTTGTGATTATTTAATTAATGTCTCCCTTTATGACTGGACTGTCAGCTCCATAATAGTACAAACCAATCTGTCTTACTCACCATCAGTGCCTGGCAAAATGCCTGGTATCTAATGGGCCCTTGATAAATATTTGTTTAATGAGTAAATGAATATAATTTAACTAAGGTTACCTGACTGTCTCCTTCACTAGTCTCAGAAGCTCCGGAACAAAAGCTATGCCTCTTTTTCTAGGCCCTGCATTTATTAGCAAATGCCTGCACATAATCATTGCCCTCGGCATATTTGTGGATTGAATACCAGGCCGGTCCCTTCTTAGGAGGCTCTAGTGGAAACATGTTATCAGAAGACTTAATTAGAAGGTGGGGTCCTACAGGTATTAACAGAGAGGCTAAACCAAGACCCTAAACGTTATTCTAAGTGAGTTCAAATTAGGCTGGAATACCCTACCCTTGGTTAAAAGCAGACCCAAACATTTTTCCCCATCTTGTAGAAGATACTTCCTTACTTCTTTGAAGGCAATATTTCGGAATTGAAAGATCTCAAAAAAGGATCAGATCTTTTAATCTCGAGTCTTTACCTCACTTCTTTACCTCACGGCGAAAAAGTCTGTAGGGCCTAAAAAGAACTCTAGCTTTTGTTATTTCTGTCAGGGAGTGCCAGGTTGGCAGGAACCCACCTCACACCCTCTGGTGAGGAAAGTTTGCCTGAAGAAAGGGAGACAGGGTGCCTTTCTGTCTTTTTCCCCCTCCTCCCC